AGATGATAATGATGATGACTATATGTCTTATGTTTTAAAAAGTTTTTTAATGTTTTGGTACACCTTAACCCATTTATATATTTTATTTGGTTTCAATTTATATTAGTTTAATTTTATTAAATAATATATTATGCTTTAATAAGATGTTATTTTTAGTTGTTTGTTACTATAGTTAATATTAAATGATTATTAATTTATTTTTAGAAAAAAATTTCTTCATTTATTGACCAAATTAGCAACAAACATTAGTGTCGAATGCATATACGATTGCTAAATAATGACATAATTAGTGATGGATTTGCTAAAAGACTTAGCGAGTATTATTTAACGATGGTTTTGTGATAGATAACAAACTAAGGAGATGACTATTTACTTTGTTTTAGAGATAGAAATAATTAATTAGTGACAATTTAACGATAAATAATAGATTGGAGAGATGATTGTTTACTTCACTTTAGCGACGAAAATTCTATGCATTAGTGATCGAAAAAATTTCATCACTAAGAAAATAGTGACGACCTCACAAATCTGTCACTATGTCTAAATAGCAACGAATATTGATAATATAGTGATAAAAAAAATTGTCACTATTTTTTGATTTTCTTGTAGTGAGAAGTCCAAATACTTGAGAAAAATTAAGAAACTTCGATAAATTATGTTAATACATGAGAAGATAGGATAAAAAAAACATATATTGATAATATTTTTTAGTATAATGTTGCAATTGATATTTTGAATAAGGATTATAAGCCTAAATCAATTGAAGAATATTGACATAGAGATAATTAGTCTAGATAAAAAGATACAATCTTAGTAAACTTAAATTCTCTTACAAAACGAGCAATTTTTGAACCTATAGTAAAAACATCTAAAGATGTTAAGATAGTGGAATACAAATTGGTATTTATGCAAAAATTAAATGAGAAATATGAGATTGTGAGATACAAAGCAAGACTTGTAGTATAAAAGTTTTTGCAAAGACTCGAAATTGATTATGAGAAGACATATTCTCCTATAATGAATGTAATTATATTTCACTAACTCGTTACCCTATCAACATATGAAATTCTTTATATGCATTCAATAGATATGATCACAACTTATTTATATGGTTCCTTTCAAAATCATATATATAAAAGTCCTATAAGGATTTAAGATACTTGAAGCATGTAATACACATTCTCATAAAATATATTTGATTAAATTATAGAGATCTCTATAAGGATTATTTTAGTACTTATTTTATTATTTTAGTTTTATAATTTTAATTTATGCTATACTTTTCATTTTTCAATATCCACTCTTTATTATTAATTTGAAGGCATGTGAAAATTGTATTAGTGAATATTTGTTGAAAAAAGTTATAAAAAAGATCCTATTTGTTCATGTATTTTTATAAAACAATCTAAAAAGGAGTTTGTGATAATTGTTATATATGTTGATGATTTAATATTATTAGAACTTCTAAATAGATTTCAAATGCTACAAGTTATCTAAAAAGAAAATTTGATATGAAAAGACCTTAGAAAAATAATTTTTTATCTCGACCTCCATTTCAACCACATAGAGGATGAGATTTTTATTCATTAGTTAACTTATATATATATATATATATATATATATATATATATATATATACATATGTACATATATATATATATAATGCATTCTATATGAATAAGGCTCATCTATTGACTACTTCAATGATTACTCGTTCACTTGATATCCAAAAAAAAAAACCCTTTCCGGCTTCGAGAAGATAATGAAGAATTATTTGATCCTAAAGTATAATATCTTAATTAGTGCATTAATATATCTTGCTAATAATAAGTGATCTAATATAACGCTGTAAATTTATTATCAAGATAATTCTACTCCAATACGGAGACATTAGAATAGAATTAAACATATACTATATTTTCTCTAAGAAAAAATGATATGATATTTATTTTACTCAAATAAATCAAATTCAAGTTTAATTAGGTACATAAATGCGAGTTATTTATCCGATCCATACAAAACACGATCACAAACTAGTTATGTATTTTCACATAGTGATACAATTATATTATGACGTTTTATAAAGCAAACTATAACCGGTACATCTTCGGACCATGTGGAAATACTAGTAATTCATGAAACAATGTTTGGCTAAAATCAATGACTCATCATATCCGAGAGACATGCGATATTTCCACTAGTAAAAAAATTGTAATAATATTATATAAATATAATGCTACTTTCATAACTCAATTAAAGAAATGATAAATAAAAGATGACAGAATGAAATATATATAATTAAAATTATTTTTCACATATGATCTTCAATAAAATAGTGATATTAATCGAGAGCGAACCCACGTTGTATGCTACAGGGGCCATAGCCCCTCTCTAATTTGTGGAATATCCCTCGAAAGGAAATTAGAAAATATATAAAGAAAAAATGAGAGAACCTTAGCAAGTGCAACTTCAAGAGTCTTGAGGTCAACACCCGATGCGACAGAAGAAGCTCTTATGTGCAACTTGTGGTGATGATGAGAGCATAGAAATGCGAGTGTATGTTGATGTAGTATTTGACGGAGAAGCCATTAAAATGAGCATTTTCAGTTCAAAAAAGAATTGAAGTTTCGGAAATTAAGAAAAGCCATTGGTGTTTGTTAAGAAAAATTAAAAAAAAAAACGTGAGGATAAGGTTGTTTGGGATTGGCACGTGAGGGGCGGTTTCAAACACGTCACTCGTGTGTTTCTAGCTAAGACATAGGAAATTAAGAAATTAAAAAATAATTAACTTGTTGAGACCGGGATTTGAACCCACTCCCTTTTTAATATGACATCATGAAATATCCAAGTGCCATTTTTTTTATCATCCGAAATCTATTCCTAGCTTGATGAATATGTTTAATGCAACTTGTGAAATTTTATTGAATATCATTGAAGATGGAGCTACAATTACTCAACGTGGAGATGCGAGATGCAACTTATGAAGGATTAACTTCTTTTAAATTTGTTTTCATTATGCATCTTATGAGAACATTTTTAGAGATATCTAATTTACTTTGCGAAGCTTTACAACTTCAATCTATATTTTGAATGCAATGCATCTAGTTTCTTCAATTAAGTTATTCATTCAAAAATTAAGACATGAAGGATGGAATGAATTCATTAATTTCAAAAGCAAAATCTTTTTGTGAAGCAATTAACAAATTCATACCGGACTCGAGCGTTCATTATGTTGCGAAAAAGAAAGGGCTTATCATCAACAAGATGTATATACGGTTGATCATCATTACAAAGTTGACATATTCAATGCCGTGATAAATTCTCAATTGCAAGAATTGAATAATAGATTCAATGATCACATGATAGAGCTACACATTCTTAGTTTGGTTTTAGATCCTAGAAAGATGTACATATATTCGGGATTGATGAGATTTGTAAGTTAATACGTAAATTTTAACCTTAAGACTTTGTCGATCATGAAATGCTACAATTAAGGATGCAATTTGAGTATTTTGATCATGTATAGAATCTTCCCGATGAAAATAAGAAAATTTGAAAGTTATCCACTTATTTATAGAGTTATAACACTTATTTTTACTCTTTCAATTTTTACAATTACCATGGAGCGATCATTTTCAGCTACGAGCATAGTTAAGAATAAGCATCGTAATAAGATGAAAGATGACTTTCTTTTTAATTATTTGTTAGTGTATATTGAAAAAGAAATGACTAAAAATTTTAGTATAGATTCGCTTATAGATGATTAAGGATGCAATTTGAGCATTTTGATCATGCATAGAATCTTTCGATTTCGAAACATTGTCAACTATATTTGATTTTTGTCAATGGTCGATGAATATAAGAAAATTTGAAAGTTATTCACTTTTGTATAGAGTGATAGCACTTATTTTTATTCTTTTAATTTCTACGAGTTACCATAGAGCGGCCATTTTCAGCTATAAGCATAGTTAAGACTAAGCTTCGTAACAACTTGGAAGATGACTTTCTTTCCGAATGTTTGTTAGTGTATATTAAAAAAGAAATTACCGAAAATTTTAGTATAGATTCACTTATAGATAATTTTTGTGACTTGACAAAACAAAAATCTCTATTTTGAATGATTGTATTTTGAGACTACTTTAAAATATATATTAGTATGTTATTTATAATATATATAGAAGTTTGTATAAATCATGATAAATTTATAAATATTTATTCAATCTGGCCCCTGTGAACATTTGGTCCCGCATCCGCCACTAATATTAATGTTCAACAAATTCTATCAAGAGACAATTTAACAAATGTGTTCACTAAGGCATTACCTATCATAACTTCGAAAAGATGATTCACAAGATTGTGATGCATTATTTTAAAAATCTTAAATAATGTTTTCAACATAGGGAGCCCAATATGAGAATTAATATATACAAGAAATATTATATCTTTTTTTCCTTCACTAGAATCTTTTTTCCACTATATTTTTTTCATAGTAAGATTTTAACGATACATGTTTCTTATATGATAGATATTTAAGGATGAGTATTATAAAATAATAAATGTCCATAACCATTTTTATTCTCACTACTAATCATATTCTTTAATGGGATTCAATTCAACATTATCATGCATAATGACACAAGAATTGAAAGTTGTTGCATTTGATTGAACCTTTTATGAATCTTTTCTAGTCCATTCTTATTGTCTTTCTAATCATAAAGCTTATAAAAAAGATTGATTATTCATTAATGTAGAATATTTTTTTGTAGAGATTGAAATAGTTGTTTTGAAATTGCTATAACTTATATTTATTTTATTCATTATTTTTCATCACTTCTCCATTTTTATAATTTGTTTTGGGTAGAGATCGTTCCTTGCTATTATTTCTTGCTTGCATATATTTGGTGGATTGGATTTGTCGCTCGTCCATGCAATCATAAGACTTGGCACGGCTATCATTAAACCACAACATCACCTAATAACAACACTTGTCAATCCCCTACCATTTTTGAAGTTGAGCGATGGTTGTTGAGTATTATCACTGATTGCAGCCGGCAATGCAACTAATATGTTGATGCTCGAAGCGTTGGATGTATGAGGTCTCTTTCGGCTGGAAATGAATTTGGTATTCAATGCATTTCGCAACAAATATTTGGCCATGTAACGACACTAATGAGTTCCTTGATTTTGGGATCTTGCAACGAAAGTAGCTATGTGGAAGTGCTCAAACTAAAACATGATTAATCAACAAACTCAGCAATTGAACTTGCAGGTAATATTTCAATGCCGTGAATAAACTCAGCAATTGAACTTGCAGGTAATATTCAATGCCACTGAATTATCAACAAGCAAGGAAAAGAAAGCATGAACAAAAATGTAACTTCCAAGTTCTAATTTTTCCTGTGATTAACTACTGTAAAAATATCCAAATCAAAGTGAAATAAGATTCCAGAATCTCCTGTGTTGAGATTATATTCAACTCGAAGAGTCACATGTTGATACAAAGAAGAATTATTCTGTCACATCTAGAAGGAGCCACGCCTAGCACGTTCTTGGGCTACATTTACAGCAATCGCCCTGCCGTCCAAACTCTGCATCATGAATGTCACAAAATTCAGACTATTTGTAGATAAAATAATGATGGGGAGAGAAGTATATCAAGTACTATAGTTGGGGAAGAACATTCCTCTTGTTTCTATGGAATAAACATCTTGGCTTTCATCAACAAACAATAGCAACTGCTTTCAAGGATAGGATGTGTGTATGTGTATGCACATGATATATAGATCCACACATTCATAGAGATATACCGGACATTGTCAATGGGGAAAAATAGTTAAAACTGATTATCACCTCCATTCATTTTGAAGGGGTGCAAGGGTGCATCAAGTAGGTATGATTTACCATACATGCATAAAACACCGTAATTCCCCGTTTCTCCTTTATCCTCAAGTAATATAAACCAGCATAATTAACTGTAAAGCCAGCATATGGCAATTACAATCTACAGAAGGTTTGACTATCATTTGAAGAAAAAAAAATGAAAAACTTGCTTACTAGTTTCACTGTATGACCTACATTAGGAAGAAACTAGAGATTCTAAGCATCCAGACAAGGCATGCATTATTACCTGTCCATCAAGAGCAGCAATGGCATCATGCAACTCTGTCTCACTAGACATTGTAACAAAGCCAAAACCACGAGAACGACCAGTGTCTCGGTCACAAACTACTCTGGCATTCACAACCTTTCCATGTTCACTGAAAACTTGCTCCAGACGAGCATCATCAACTTGCCAAGGCAGGTTACCAACATAGATTCTATATGCAGATTCCTCCACACGCGACTTTTCTGGCCGTGACCCTCTAGGAGCAGCCTTATTTACTGTTAAAGATCTTCCATTCAAATCCTGTTAACAGTTAAAGGATCATCAGTTTCACAATACTAGGGAGAATCATGAAAGTTCAGAATTCAACAGCAATGAACGTATTGTTTTTTATTTTATTTATTTATTTTTAAATGTAAAACTCAATGATGGATTTTGTCGAATGAAAGCTCTCCTGGGCAAAAAAGCAACTTCACCACATTCTCAATGTTGCCATAAGCATTTATTGAAATATTCTCCAATGTGATCTCTGCAAATGCATTGGAGATGGCCACTGTACCAACCTCCAAATAGTCTAAACTAGTGCGAATGTACTAGTATAATACCACGGAGGAAAGCACTCTAGGAAGTGAATGGCTTGTGACCACAGAAGACAGCTGTTGTAGCTCACTAACCTAATTCTAAAGGAAGAAATGTAGAGGTTCCCACTTAAAAGCAGTTACACACTTAAAAAAGAGGAAAAAATGAATACCTTTAAAATTTAAAATATCCATTCCACTAGATTATAAGATCAGAAACAATGAAGCACCTCCACATCTTTAGGTTTCATCAACCAATTCTTCCAATTGATTAAGTACAATATTTCCTTCATATACAAATCCAATTAAAAAAACTGCTATACTCTTTTCCATTGTCGAAACCAAGTACCTAACTTAGCAAGAAAGTCCAAAAACTTCTTCAAGATCAACAATAAGTAGGAAGTTAACAACAGAACACTTCGTCAATTCATACTATATGGAAACTTTTCTCAGTTCTCCAAGCTGCTATGCTTTCAAAAAGAAAGAAGTATCTTAGGTAAAACATTTACATGCCATATACTTCAACTTAAATCATGGACAGCAAGTCTGGTAAAATATTTGCAGCCCTTAAAGGAGAAACCATAGAAGCATGAAAGATGACATTTTGACACATTCTGCAACATAGAATCAATCATTTTTGCATGGTTGTATCACAAAAATTTAGCATTCTTTCTCAATCTTATTAACATACTATACAATTTTCTCAAACAGCAAATTAAAATCCGTGGGAATAACAAAGGATAAAAAACAAAATAAACTTACATAACGGTGGAACTTCTCCACAGCCTGCTCGGCTTCATCAACTGTACTCATTGTAACAAAACCAAACCCTCTACTTTGATCCGTCTCCCTGTTATAAATTACCTTTAAAATAGGTAAAAAAAAGAGTTAGATAATTTAAGCCAAGTTAGAACATAAGCCAATTTTCAAAATTCAATCACAATTATAAACAGTGAACAAAAGATACAAACTTTCACACCTCAGCAACCTCAACAGTCCCAGCCTGATTAAATAGCTGTGCCAGATCCTCACTATCAACATCATAAGGCAAATTCCCCACATAAAGCTTAGCCTCTTCAGGTGGTTCTGGTAAAGTCTCTTCACTTCCATCTCCAAAACTCTCCTCTCCAAGATTCACTGTGTCCTCTTCTTGCTTAGCCCAATCTGAGGTCTGTGCAACAAGAGGGATTATATTGAAAGTTGAAAACTTGGGGGTTTTGAGAGATACCCATGAAGGGAAAGTCGTTGAAAAGGAGAGCTTTATGGGTTTTGACGTTATTGAGATAAATGGGTATTTGGTTAGTGCATTGAAGACTGTATTTGTAGTTCTGGATACTGAGGTCAACCGCATCTCAGCCATTGATAGCTGCTTAAAATATGCTGCAGCAGTAGGTTCTGAGAGCATGGAAAGACAGAGCAAGGGGATAAGGGAGTTCTTGGGTTCACATTTTAAGCCTAGAAAACTCCGAAAAAAAAATATATATATAAATTGTCCCCAGATATTTTTGTAATTTTCGGGGTCAGTAATCTATTATTTGTGAGTGGGGAAGTAGTGTCAAAACGACATAGTTTTATGACTAGAAGATTAAAAAAAACCGTAAACTGCTCCTTTGGTTATGAATAATTATAGGGATAATTACAATATAACTATACCAACTTTTAATTTTTTTTCTCAATTAAGTATATAAATTTTAATTTTTTTATTTGAGTATATCAATTTTTTAAAATTATCAATCAAATACTTCCATCAATTTTTTTGTTAACTAATAATGTGTCTATTATTCTCAAAATATCAAATTACAATTTTGCCTTCTTTTTTTTTTTTTAACGGAGGATATAAACTTTAATTTTTTAGATTGAGTACACTAATTTTCTCAAAATAGTCAGTCAAATATTTTTGTCAATTTTTCTATTAATTGATGATGTGTCTAAATGCTAAATTATTATTTTTTTCATCTTTTGTTGTAAAGAACTTTCTCCTTAAATTATTCTATCATTTTAAAATTTGATAAAGAATTAAAAAAATATATTTATAAAATCTTGAAATAAATATAATAAGGCTTGCTATTAAAAAGAATCGGTTAGGTTTTGGACATGAAAATTGAAGAAAATACAAACATGAGATTTTTTATTGAAAAGATTCATTTGTGTTTTTCTTCAAGTTTTACTTTTAAACCTAACTGATTTTTTTTTAACAGCAATCTAATTGAGTTTAGTTTGAAATTTTAGAGATAAAAAATAATTTTTAAATTATCTTTGAAATTATAAAATAGTAAAATAATTTGAGGAGAAAGTTTCTTTCAACAAAAAGAGGATAAAATTATAATTTCGTATTTAAATACGTCATCAACCAATAAAGAAAGTGATAAAAATATTTGGTTGACGAGTTTTGAAAAACATTTATGTACTCAAATGAAAAAAAAATCATATACTTAATTGAGAAAATGGATAAAATTATAATTTGATATTTTGAGGGTGCCAAACACTGCACCGACTAACGCAAAAATTGACATAAGTACTTGATCTACAATTTTGAAAAAAATCGATGTATTCAAATAAAAAAAAAAATTAAAATTCATATAAATTGGGAAAAAAATAAAAGTTGATATACTTATATTGTAATTATTTCATAATTCTAGTGCTAGACATATTTTGAGAATTATTCTACTAATTAATGCAAAAAAGATTTAGTAATAGATTGGTGATTAAATGCCACTTGGTCGAGGACTCAAAATGGAGGATTAATTGCTATAAATTTTTGTAGGGTTTTACCCATATATGATAGTTTTATTCTTCGAATTGCTTTGATTGAAACATTTTAGTTTTTTTTCGTATTAATTGAGTTCTTTTACTCTATATTTTATTTTGTATTTGTTTTTTGTAATGCTATTAGTTTTGAGTTAATGTGGCACTAATATGGAACATCAACTTTTGAATGTGTAACATGTATTATGCATGAGATTTCAATAGGAATACTCAATCAAAATAATTCAAAGAATATAAGACTATAATTGAAACAGTTCAAAGTATACGAGAGATCAAATTATTATTATTTAATTTTCATGCTATTGTTTTTTAAAGATATTATCTTGAATGTCTAGAAACGTATCGAATCATATGTGAGATCCCATCACGATAAAATTCTAAAGTGTTTTTTATTAAATTATTATTATAATTTTAAAATAATAAAATATATACAAAACAAATCGAACATACATATTTTTTAAAAATAATAAAGTAAAAATATGTTCGTTAAAATTAAAATGAAAACAATAATAATGTTGACTAATAGTTAATTATTTATATCAAATAAGAAAATGTAGTGAAGTTCAAATTTTTTTTTTTTTTTTTTTTTTTTTTTTTTGGGAAAACAACTCCATTTTTCACTTTGAGTTAGTCAAATATTGAAGATGTTTTTACTTTATATATATATAAAGAATTAGACCTATTAACTAGGAGTACGTGAGTGACCAATATTATATATCACTATATTTTTGTTTTAATAATTATATGTTAAGTTCTTTTTTCAAATATTATTTTATTATTTTTAACTTATTATAATGTTTTTTATTAAAAAAAAAACACTTTAGAATTTTATTGTGATGGAGTTTTATATATGACATATTTTGTGCATTTGGAATGAGGTTTAAAAAAAAATAATAACATGAAAATTAAAAAATTAAAAATTAAAATTTGCTCCATGAATTTTTTGAATTATTTTTATTAAAGTCTCATTCTCTTTAAATTATTTTGATTGAATCTTATATATTAAAGTTAACATATAACACGTGTTACATATTTAGAAATAAATGTGTTACATAAGCACATTCAGAAATGGATATGTTACGTTAATGTCATGTCGGCTCATAACTAACGACGTTATAATAAAAGAGAGAACAACAAAACAAATAAAGAGTAGATGAATACAATCAACTCGTGCGATAAAGATAAACAGTTTCAATTAAAACAATTTCAAATGTAAAAATACTATATATAGGCAAAAAAAAAAAAAATTCAGCCATAAAATTTCTCTTCAGATGATTTCAAGATGCATGAAAATAAATTTTAACACATCCTCTCACTCCCAATTATTGAAAAAAAGAAAAAGAACAGTGAATAACGCTAGCTTTTAGTATTACTAATTTTGTTAAAAACATAAGTTTTTTCGCATTGCTTGTTCAATTGTCTATTTTTCTCTAGCATCTCATTTTCAACTGCCAGTAAGTTACAGCCCAATTGAAGGGTAGATGGTTGTACATATAAGAAAGCTGAAAACCCAGACACTCAACATTATATTGCCAATTTCCCTAATATATATTTTGGCTATTAGATGAAGTTCTACGGAGATAAATTCGACGATGGAACTAAATATGTAGTATAGAAAACTAGAAATAGACAATGATCCTTAAAAAATATGTTGTTTAAGACAAGAGTTAAATTCTCCATGTTTTATTGATCTCATGAATGTGCTTTGACGATTATAAAGTATAGTATTGCAGGGTTTCAGATTACAAGACACAGATGAATTGTAAGATGACGAAGAAGAAGACAAAATCCAAATAGAGAGATACATTTCTTATAATCCGTCATTATTCATACACAGGTTTGAAGTTCTTGTAAGCTATCACAGCATAGAAAGGGTCTGATCCAGACACCAAACCAAGCAACCTCATGATCCAACTAAAGGGGGATTTCTCCTCTTGAGCACTACCTGCTGCCACAGGTAGTTTTCGAATAATTTCTGGTTGTGTGAACCCTTCGACACTTTGGAAATACTGCACAACTAGTTGTACCCGACTATATGCACTGCCATCCCTCCATGCACTAATGGCTTTCTCGTAGAACAAACGATTGCTAAAGCTTACAATAAATATCCCACCAGGCCTTAGCACTCGACACACCTCTGCAAACACCTATAATAATAATAATAATAATAATAATACAATCATATCAACTTAGGCTTTTTAAGTACAATTTTTTGGTGACATAGGCATTAATTAAGATTACACAAATCAATCTGACCTTTTCTGGCTGTTGGAGATACTGCACACTAACAGTGCATAGCACAGCATCAAAACTGCTACTCTGTAATTCGAGCTTTTGATCTTCATTGAGATCCTTCACAAAAAAATAATTCAGTCTTGGATTCTTGGCAAGCTCTTGTGCATTAAGCCCATGTCCCACCACTCTTTTGTACACAACTTGTTTGGGTAGATGGCTAACACAAGAGCTCATGAGGTCAAGGATTTCGGAGTCAGGTCTCAACCTCTCTTTATATACATTAGTCAGTGTGGAAATGAAACCATCATCAACATGGGTAACAAAGCGTGGATAGGAATAAAATTCTCGATCAGGGTATGTATTAAGTTTGGCTCTACCTTCCTGGGACAGAACAAGGCGTTTAATCTTGCCTGCTGAGGGTCTTTCTGACTCATTGCTTTCATTTAAAGTGTTTGCAGTTTTTGTTGCAAGACTTCTTGTTTTGAGTGGAAGAGAAGTGGTGGTTCGTAGGTTGGCGACAATTGGTGGGTGCCATGGCCTTGGCCTTGGCTTGGGATGGATGGTGAACATGTGTTTTGAACTGATAAGCTTTTCTGATACAAGATTTTTTCACTTTTCAATGTGAGGGAGTCGGTGACCCAGCGAGTTGATGGTTTGTGACTGGACAGAGAACTCTTGTAACCCAAATGGGCCAACAATTTGTTCAAGTTAAATGGTTTCTAACCAGAGGATGAATAAAGATGGGCTTATACCTGTATTAAATTCGACCTTTTTCATGGACTTGTGGGTAGACATGCCGCAAAAACATTTCTGAGAAAGAAGGCCATGCACTCAATTTTGTCCTTTCAAGTGACTATTCTTTTCTTTTCCTTTCTCAATCCTAAGTGCCACAATTGGATCTATAGTATCGGAGGTCCGTCGGTATTGAATTTAATGAAAAATATTATTTTCATACTATAATAATTAAATAAATTAGAGTTATTATAATCAAACTTGTTTTATTTTCTTAAAAAATATATAACTATTGGATTTTATCTTTCTATGTGGATCTATAATACTTGATTCATCCATTCTAAGATGAATGAAAGTCTTTTCATTTCCCCTTAGATCCTGGAAAAAAAAAATTAATGCTAAGAAAACAATGTGAATCCATGCCTTATTATGTTTTGGAAAATATTAAAGAAACAAGAAAATGAAAGAAATGCAAATGTAAGTAAAAAGGAAAAAAAAAAAAAAGAGAAATAAAAAATGGAAAGCACGGTTTTCTTTGTGTTCCAAATAATTGAAGGAAAAAAAATTTGTAGTGCATGCCCTGGTAAATCTGTTGGGTCTGAATGACTCTTTTCATTTTTAATTAATCATTTAATGCTTTTGGAGTTTACATTTTATCATTTGTATTTTTTTTTCGTATGTATAATATCACCTTTTTCTTCTATTTTTATTTTTTTGTTTTTATAAGAAAAGTAGATGTACATATAGATTGTCTAAACACTTGCATGAAACATTAAACTTTTCACACACATTAAGAGGAACTAACACCACATTTATATCGAACTTATAATACCATTGTGAATGGATAATAGAATGTACATATATCACATTAAATAATAATAATAATAATGACGAAACTTGAATCTAAAACCTTTAATATAAATGATTATTCTTTTTATCATTTAAATCAGTCTCTAGAAACAATTTTCTATTCTTCTTGATATCTTTATTTGGAAATAATGATGGTGATAATTTTTAATGAGAATTCTTCACATCTCCTTGAACCTAAGATCTTAAGATCAACCTCCACAAATGGGACTATTTAGAATAAGAGAGAAGTGTTGTAAGTCGGTGATATATTGTAGTACTCCACACTTGGACCCATAAATAATGTCAAGTAGAAGGAGGTTACACACGATACATAACTAAACTCAAAGTATAAGTAAAAAATAAAAATAAAATTTCTAACTCTGTAATTAAACCTAACTTAAATAAATCCAAATATAACAATTAAAATCCTAAGATTTCATTATAGGAATTAGAAATTAATACATTTAATATAAAATCTCAAATTTTTTTAACACGTTATAACCAAATGTATTTACTAAAATTGAGAACTTCAATTATAACATTAAAATCAAGCGATCAATTAGCAAAAGATTATAAAGCTAATTATATAATAATTTTCAAATCGTCACTTAAATCTAATAACCAACCAGACCAAAAGAACAAAAAACTAATATCTTCAAAAGAGTATGCTCTTTCTATTTAATTTCATGACACTCCCATGGAGACGGAGTTGCCTCGAATAATAGACCCATAGGGACAAGTCGTTCGCATAAACAAACCATATGGCCGAGTTGCCTCGAATAATAGGTTGTGGAGACAAACCGTCTTGAACAATCGATCGTCGGGGGCGAGGCCTCCCAAAACAATAGGCTAAGAGAATCATGTGTGTCTCTTTTGTTTGATTGAGTACTTGTGTTTTATTTGGTCCTTTTTTTAATTATTATTTTATTTATAAAGCTTTTTATATAAAGTCAAAGCATGACATTTCAATATCTTTGCAATGAAAGCATTGTAAAAAGGAGGTAAATGTTAAAACCCAATTTTTAACTTCTATTTTTTTTAGAGACCCCATTAGTTTTTTTAGCTTAAAGTAAATAAAATAAAATAAAAAATTAGAGAATAAATTAAAATGATGAGTTAAGGGTCTAATTGGTGAAAGTTATGAGAAGTGAGGACCAAATAACATTTAATTAGGGGTGCACTTGGAAGAGAATAAAAATTAAGAGCCTTAGTTAAGAATCGAATTAAAAGAAGTTAAAAGAAAAGAGACTCAATAATTGCAATTGAGGATGTAATTGATAAGAAAATAATGAGACAAGGACCAAATATGAAAAAATAGAAAAATTAAAGACCGAGCTGAATTTTTACCTACAACCTTAAAAACCCCACGACAAATAGATTGTTTACTCTTATTATTCAAGAGGAGTCGTTATTATTCATCAAAAAGAAGAAGCAATGACTATTCATCTTTTCCAACAAAGAACATCGGCCTCATCCTCATTATCGAACCACCCGATACTAGCTCGAGAACCACTAGTCATCATCTTCTCCAACCACTAACATCGGCCTCATTCCTGTTGCCAAACTAACCCAACACTAACCTCGGAACCACCGATTATCACTATAACCTCTAACCACCAACACCAACCTCATCCCCATCCCGAACCACCCAACACTCAAATCCTCATCATCATTCCTATAACACAAATCCTAGGAGCACTAGCCATCACTGTAACCTCCAACAACTAACACTATCCACCATACCTAAATACCCATCATCACCATTATAACACCAACCCTAGAACCACCTTCATCAATAACCACCACTATCACCCTCGATAGCCACCTGTATTAGCCTCGTTACAAATACATAAAACATTAACGACGAACTTACATCGACTTAGTTGTAAATCCATGAAACCTTAATAACCACCATCATTACCATTGCAAACCCACAAAACCTAGACAACCAACTTCATGATCACCGTTACAAACCCATGAAACCTTAATAGCCATTTTACCATTAGAAACCACTGCTAAAACCTCGCTCTCACACAATCGAAACCCATAGCTTGAAACAAATAAACTCACATTGCTAAATCACACCTCTAGCTTTGAACCACTCGCTAACAACCACCACAAACTCATTGTCAAACCACCCTTGAATAATCCCGAATGCCACTCCTTGAAACCCTTACAACCACCACATCCATTAAAAGTTGGTTTCTTATTTTATAGTAAAGAATAATAGCAAAAAAGGATGATGGACTTTGAATTAAAACTAAAACAATCCTAGTATTATTATTGCTTGATTTGAGTTAAGTTTATAGCGATAATGGTAGCGAGAAAAAGAAAGATGGACCTCGAACTAAACCCAAAATGATTTTAGGACTATTTTTGCTCGATTTTTTAGTCTTTGAGAGATACAAATTGAGGGCTAACTAGAAACTAAGAATTTAGCTCACAAAAAAGGCAATTATTTCCTCTTTCTCAACCGATGTTAGTGTAAGTGCCCAAGATCCAATCTTTTTAGATGATTTGACTTATTGTAATATTGTATTCTTTATTTTATTAATAAAATAAATTTTTTTATTAATTCTTATTATTTATATTTTGATAGAATTAGATAGAAGTTCATATGATATTGCATTAATGATTGATCGAAAGATATAAGACAAGTATTAATATACTTAAATGAGATTATTGAATGTCTTATGTCGTAGCATTATAAAAAATGAACATTGATTATATGTCTGTAAGACTTGTGAGTGCTATGCTCATGCTATAAGATAGCGAGTAAGAGGTCTCACATCTATTGGTATGGTGATGACAAAGTAAGCACTTAGGTAATTAATGTTAGAAAACATATCACCGAACTTGACTCGCCATGAGAATCCTTTCGGTTTAGTTTATGGGAATCTCATACGAGATGGATACAATCGGTCCTTTGACTTGTAGTTATCATGATTATCTCATTAGAGGATTTATGTAATTTGACACTCATTTCGATAGGCTTAGTTAAGAGCTACACATGGATTATTCATTGTGTGCACTAGAAATCTAATAGAGATAGGTGGATGAATAAGATAGGACATGTCATTTTTTATATGCTAAATGAGTTATCACATTATACTTATATGGCCATTGTAGGAGTATACTAATAGAGCATATTTGGTTACCCTAGAGCTAAGACATTTAGAAATAGAAAAAAACTTATGTGATCATAATCGAATATACTATAAACCAAGTTTGAGATCACACCTGTGATAAATTGACATGAGGATTGGATTATTTGGTAACCATACTCGTGAAAGGTAATTGTAGATTAATTAATCCTTTTAGAGAATTGGTTAGTCATGATGCCTTTCTAGAGGCCAATCTTGATTTATGTATCAAGAGATAAAAGAGGTGTCTTATTCTTGATACATTGTCAACATATCTAGCGATCTATTGAGTCACACGCATAAGTTTAAATATTCATATAATAAAAGAGAAGCAAAGATTTTGGAAAAAAAGATTTCTAGCTTTGAAAGTTTCCTATTTCGGAAAAGCTTGTCGAAAATAAAAAGTTGTATGTTTTGGAGAAAGTTTAAAATAGAAAGTTTCCTAAAATGGAACATTTCTTATTTTAGAAATCGGTTTTCTAATTTGGAATTCAGTTCTAAATTTGAAAGTAAGTTGCCTAAAAATAAAATCAGTTTTCTAATTTAGGTTTAAGGGTAATTTAGAAAATTATTGTCTAATATGGGTCTCCTAAAAAAATCTAACCCAATTTATTTAGATAGTCCAAATTAATTGGTAATTAAATAGGCCAAAAGAGTTTGGGTCAATAGGCTTAATCTAATATCCTATAAGATATTTTGGTGGGATAATACAAAAGAACCTTATTGAATAAGGAATAGGCTTTATAAGGATAATATCTAAACAAACCCTCATACATTGTAACTAGTCGTAACTTAGAGTCCATGTAAGACTTGTTGCTACCACTACCCTATCCTTGGAGGACAAGA